TGAGCTCATCCACCTCAGCATTAGTAACCATGTTTTAGGAGTGGAAACTGTGATACTTATATCTTTAGAAATTTTTCCAGAGGCAAAATTATATCTGATTCAATAGTTCGCACAGAATTTACAGTGGCATCCAAATCAGCTGAATTTTGTGAATAGACTAATGGAATATAAGCAGAATTTAGTCCTATGAGGAATATCCTTTTCTTCTGTGCATCATCTGTTAATCCTACACGAGTCACTAATTTCTTGAATTTATTAGCATAGAAATCTACAGACTCATCTGTTTGTTGACGTAGAGAAGTTAACTCCTGATACCATTGATTTTTTTTGGTCTCACTAATAAAACGAGCATTGAACAAATCCACAAAGTTTTGGCCTCCATTTATTCCAGTATTCTAACGGTCTCTTATGACAGTAGTAACGCTATCAAACCAGTCAGCTGCTGCTCCTCTGAGGTGTCCTACAACAAGGGCTTTTTTTCATGCTTCATCGGTCCATCTGTTGGTAATGGCGGCTCTTTTAAATGCAGTGAGTCATTCTACAGGATCTTCATTTTCAACTCCTGAAAAATAGTCAACTTTGATAGTAGATCTTTCTTCTCTTTGTGCTAATCGAAGTTGTTCACTAATATCTGTTAAGTGTTGTCTATCAGTTCCAAAAATATCTTGGAAGATAGCTCTCATTTCAGCTCCTGAGGCAACCACTAAGCTAAAAGAAAATGTTTTCTATCTATATAAAATAAAATATATAATTTTATTGAAGATATAAAAGAAATAGATATAATATAATAAATATATAAGATAAATAAAATAAAATAAATAAAAGAAACATAATATATAAAAAAAATATATGCTATAGATGATATAGATGACATAGAAGACATATATGATTTTCTAAAGATCAATATTATTCTTTTGATTATCATCATCCATGTCTTCTTCTGTATAACAATATTTTAGAAAGCTTAAAATATTTTGATATAATACAGTGTTCACTGGCTTTCCTAATCTCACTTCTCATTCTTTTGTTATCCTGCTTTTATTTTACAAATCTTTTTACTTTAGTTCTAATTGGTCAAATTTTTGGATCAGTAATAACTAAGCCTTTAGTACTGAATAGTTAAGCTTACTTTAAATTAGTTTAAAATAGGTTAGTTTGAAACAGTACAAGGTTGATTTTAATTTGATCTTACTAAATAGAAATTTCTATACTCTCTCATTTGTAACTTATAATTTCTTACTTTACTTTTAATAAAGATTGTACAGAACTATCGTATATAAAAAAAAACTTAAAATATTTTGATATCTAATGATTATAAAAAATAAAATAAAATTTTTAGATTTATCATATTATGACATATTTAATAGTAGTATTTTAACTTTTAAAATTTATAATTATCAATATATATTAATTATTGGATTTATCACATTAAGATCTATTAAATATTAGTATTTTTATATTTCTAAGATTAATAAATAATAAGATATATAAGTTTAAAATTTTAATTTTTTTATAATAATTTATTATTTATTTATCTTTAAAATTCGTTAGTTAATTACATTTTTTTTTAATTTTTACTTAGAAAACATTATAAAATTTATTATAAAAATATTAATTTTTAATAATATATTTTAAAATATTTAAAAATAATTAAAAATAATTGTAACTAATAAATAAAATTGTCTACAAATTTATAGACAAGACAGTTGAAAAGATATTGTAATTTATTAAATTAATTATTTATAAATTAATAATTATACTAAGAATTAGTATGAAACTATTATTCTTTTCTAAATATTAAATTTATGTATAATTTCTTTTTTTTATTATTATATATATGGTTATTAATTAAATAGATTTTTTTAAAGTTTTAGTATCTGAACACTAAGAAACTATATAGTGATTATATGGTATATTTTAAGGTATAAACCCTGATATCCAATTTTAGGATCCTTAAAATTATAGTTAAACTCAAGATCTATCTAGAATCTGCTTATAATATTAGTTCAAGGCCTACTATCTAGGTCAGCACCTCTAAGATCTAACCTTTAAAGATCCTAGAATCTCAGAATTATTGTCAAATTTGAATAAAGTGATCACTTCAGCTATAGATACTTATATCACTTTTTTTCTATGCTTACTAATACAATTTAGATTTACTATTACCTTTACTTAATATCAGAGTATATTATATATGACTGAGAAAGCTTGAATGTTATCATCCTTATAGAATCTCAGAAAGATAGTAGCTGTCATACCCATATCATCAAATTCACCTGGAAATTAAATTCAATCTCTATCCTTAATAATAATACGATTAAATGATATTATGATAGTACAATACAGTCTATTATCACTATAATCATGTAAGATACTTAGACCTTAATGTGATACCCAATCTATTAATTACTAGTTAGTCACTTCCTTACTTATATAAGGGTCTCTAAATTTTAAATGTGAGACAGTATCTATTACAGATCTATTAATAATAGTCAAGTTTTTATTGATTCTTAACTTCATTTGCATTCACATATTCTTAAAAACTCAGTATTTAGGTATAATCAATACTGATAAATAGATCGATCGACTAGTTACAAACACATATTAATATATATACTTACATATTCAATTACATATAAAATTCATAAGAAAATCATCTAATTTTATACTTTAACTGAGACCTGAATCTGTAGCTATTACATTGTAATCTATAATATGAGCTCAGTTGTTATAACTAAACTAAGGATACCAATCCCTGGTTATTAATTACATGATTTTTTTTAAATTTCAGTATTTGAATACTAAGAAACTATATAGTAATAATACCTATTTATTATACAAATCTATAATTTTACAGATTATCAAGATTAATATTAAATAGAATTCTGAATAAGTCAAGTCGAGTCAAATTTATTTTATAAAATCTTTCAACTTAATTTGATTCAAGTTATATAAATTTTAAACTTGACTCAATTTGATTTAATTCAATTTAAACTTGACTTAATTTTAAATTAAATTTATTTAAGTCAAGTTAAGTTCAAATTAAGTTTTAAGTTATATTTAAATTAACTTGTAAATTTTAAAAAAAAAAATTAAAAATTAAATGAAAAATAAAAATAATTAAAAATAAAAAATAAAAAAAAATGAAAGAGAGAATTAAAATGAAAATAAAAAATAAAAATAAAATAAAGAAACAAAAGAAAATCAGAGGGAAAGAATAATAGAAAGCAGTCTAAAAAACTAAAAGTAAGTACAGAATTGGAAAAATAAAAAAAAATAAAAAATTTGAAGGATAAAAAAAAATAAAATGATCAAAGAAGGAAAGGGGGAAGGGAAAATTAAAATAAAAATAAAAATAAAAAAATAGAATAAAAGAAATAAAAGAAGATTAGAGGGAAAAAATATTAGAAAAAAGTAAAAAAAAAAATAAGGAAAAGGAAAAAATAAAAAAAGATAGAAATAAAAAAAAAATTAAATTAAAAAAAAATCAATCAAAAGGAAAAAAGAAGAAAAGAAGAAAAAGATAAATAAGTTAATTGATAAATTGTTTGATTTATTTTATTTAAGATAAACTGGTTTGTTCATTCTTAAAAATAAGACTAATTTGAGTCAAGTTGAATTTAATTTGAATTTAAATTGAATCAAATTAAATATTTAACTCAACTTGAATTTGGTATAACTCATAAATCATTGAGTCAAAATAATATAAACTCAATTTGATTTAAATTTAATTCAGTTTATCTGATTCAAAAATTAACTTAACTCGTTCAGAACTTTAATATTAAACTTAAATTTAAAAAAAATTGAATAGATATTATTAATTAACTTTAAGAATTATAAGGATCAAATACTTATGACTGCTATTGTAACCTCATTTTTTTTTAAAAAAAAAGCAAAAAAAATGACAATATTACTATTTTATCAACTACAATAAAAATGTCAAAAGTATGATTATACCATCTTTCTTTAATTTTAATACTTTATATAAGTCAAATCTGCTTTGCTATTATAATACATCTAACTATTCTAATTTTTCATCTATTAATATAGATCAAATTAAAATTTTAGCTTACAATCATATTTATCACATATCTTGCTATAATAATAATAGGTTAAGATGCTTATATTGCTTATTATTCTACAAAATGATATCAATAAATATGTCAAATCCTTATTAAAATATTTGCAATATTTTAATAAATAAGAAATAAAGTTAAAAGTGAAAAATAATACTTCTTATGATGATAATGATAAAACTGAACTAGTAGATTATATAGCATTAGCATTTGAGCAAGCATTGCAAAAATTTCAATTATAATAAATTTTGATATTTAGTTTATAATACATATTAAAATTACTAAATAAGTTATATAATATTAAATTAAATCATACAATTAGAAATTAAGTTATAATCTTTAAAATAGACGCAGTTTAATTTTTTTAAAGCTAAGAAGTAAATTTATTAAATTCTAATTTTACATAATGAAATCACGTGATATATATAATATCAATTATAAAATTTGTGTAACATTATCGCCCAATCACATGAAAGTCTTCCAGGGAGGGGATGTGACGGGTGACAAAAGTGAGGTGATGATATCGCACATATAATTAAAAGAAATAAAAGAAATATAAATAATTTATTTATATACATTATAAATATACCGGACTAATAAATCAAGTTAATCGCTTTATATCTGTTTCAAATTTTTAAATCAAACTTAATTAGTCTAAATTACATTTATGTTAGTAAATTCCATAATGCAAACATTTTTACACCGATCTTATTTGTCTTTCTTTGTGTGTGTCTATTTCTGGAAAAAAAACCGGATAGCAATGTAAGTATTTATATCATTTTAATAATATTTTTTTTTATTGCATTGCTATTTATAAAATTTTTAAGAAAGGTTTTAAAAGTACAAAAAAAAAAAAAAAAAAAATAAATTTCCGTAAAAAAAATTTCTTATTATCTACATACATGCTAAAGTAAATTTTTAAAAATGTCAGAGTTAAGAAACCAATCAGCATTTTCTTACCCTTCACCAGCAACAAACACTTTACCGAGAACTGACATATCACTTCGAGAAATATTAGATACATACCGTGATAATAATGATCTGTTGAAACAGATTCTTAATGCTAAAGTTGAAGAAGATAAAGCAAGTATTTTACTCTTTGATTATTATTTTCTACTTGATGTTTGGAAGTAATCAAACTAGATATCTCGGAAGATAATTTTGTATTTGTTGACTTTCCAATAATCATTAACTTTATATATTTTTTTTTCCGAATACCTTTACAGAATTGTTAATATTTTAGTTATTAATATTTTTTTTTTCTTTTAAAAAAATTAGCGTCGAGCAGAAGAAGAAAAATATAAAACAGAACAATTACGGTTACAATGTAAACAGGTTGATTTAGAGATGTTAAAAGAACAAAAGAAGCCTCCAACAATTTATACTGGAGTTCCACGTAATGATTTAATTAAAGCTAATTTAGTTTTTATTTTTGGATCAGATTGACTAATTTATTATTTTAACAGCAATAAACACATCTACACCAGGATTCAACGTGTAGTTATCACTATTTATTATTTTTAAAATTAATAATAAAAAAAGAAAAAGCTTTAAATTAATATGTCTTTTTTTGGATTCAACAGAAAATCTCCCTCAGACATTCATAGTCCATATTTACCTATGCCACAACCGATGGGTTCGTTATATTTATGTTTGTATTTAAGTTATTTTTACACATTATGAACTTAACACTAAATTATAATTTCTTTAGATACAAATTATTCAGCAACAACACCAACAAGTGCAACAACGCGTTTATCGCCTCCTTCATCAGCCACTGGACATGATAATGTATCTTATAATGGGATTTCAAATTCACACAATCATTCCTACAGTTCAATGAGTCAGCGCCCTTCTTTAACGCTCTCAATTCCATCATTTCCAATTATAACCGCATCTCCAACCGCTATGCATAATCATTCATTTTCTACTCCTACCAGCAGTATACCAGAACATCCACATTCTGCAACATCTACACACCA